CGGTCCATTGAAAATGTCCGTCATAGCACTCTGCATAGCACATGCCTATCTTCAATAGCCCGATTAGTGCAGAAAAGTAGGAAAATTAAATGAAATGAGAGGCTTTTGACCCTACGGCGTCAAACATTTGATTAACCAATCAGCAGTGATCTTACTAGTGGATTACCCAAAGTTCCGTGCAAAACACGCCAAAAGCTCGCCGTAACAGACCGTTTCATTGGCTAACCCCTCACATCATTCAGAACACGCCAATGATAACAACTCTTTCAGATCCAAGTGTAGTAAAGACAAGTACACCCGGTCAGATCTTTATGTAGTGTAGGCAATCGAAAGTGTAAAAAACGAAATGAAATATAGATCTGTATTTTAATCAGATGGCGGGATTCCTCTTTACAGTGGTACAGGACGGAGAGCCTAGCAGGGATAACGTATAGTCTTTTGGCTGGGACGAAAAAATCAAGGTTCCGTGTACATATTAGCGAGCACGTAAAAAAACCCCTGACAGTTGGAATTCAATATAAGAGTAGGCCGTAGCGCCGATACCCGGGCAAAGTTTCCCTCACACTACACTGTATAGCGTATGCTAGTCTTTATTAGCCCGGTCAGGGCAGAACAGTAGAACGTTAAACACAATTTCATTTCATTCAATTTTCCTACTTTTCTGCACCAATCGGGCTATTGAAGATAAGCATGTGCTATGACGGAAATTTTCAATGAACCGTGACATTTCTTCATCGAGTTGCAATTTTAACTTGAAAGTAGAAAATGCAGGAAGCTCTCTGATAGTACGATCCAGTGAATTCCATGCGCGAATAATCGATGGGAAGTACGACTGTTGATAAATGGTCAAACGGTTAGGTGGAACATGAATATTGTGTCTATTTCGTAGATTGTAGTTAACATTGGGTTCTCTAGACGACCATTTCACGATATAGTGGTTTCCTGAGTCTAGCCACCCTGGTTAGACTTTTACAGGACTGGGGTTACGTAATTTCAGGTACCGTAATGATCCAGATCTGAATACTCATAGAAATTTCAATTTCATTTGTAAGAGTGGCTTACAATCACACTCGTTTTTCACATTAAAATTAAAGCATTTTGGCAGCTGTAATGAAACGTCGCTATTCGACTCGTTCTTACATTTCCTACCCGTTGTGTTAATATAATTTGAAATAAAATCATAATATCCAATACGGAAAACTTGTATTATAATACATGCTTATATGACGCCACAGTAAACGAAATTCAATTATCAATGCGCGTATTCAAATGTGACCTGGAATGTAGAGGCTATAACAAGTCGACAGTATGACAGCAAGCCACACTAATAGGTCGCTAATAGCGCGGTGTGTGAATTTCCTAATTTCTACTTTTCGAGTTGCACTTTGACTTGGTATTGCCATCAATAAATACAAAAATATGACTAAGTCGAAATTCGACAACACGGTATACAAGCCAAAATGCAAGTCGAAAACTAGAAATTAGGAAATAAAACCAGGGGCGCTATTACCGCCGTGTATTATTTCTTAGTTTCCTATTTTCGAGTCGATTTTGGTTTGTTTATGATGCTGTCGCCTCACATTTTGTCCTTACTTCTACTTTTCGACTTCCGCTTTCTGAAGGGGCGAAAAGTAGAAATTATGAATGGTAGTTATAGGCTTCCATACGTTTCCTGCTCAAGTGACTTGAAAACGGAACTTCGATGTTAGTTACTTTGATGTGCTCTGAATAAAGGGAGATGACTCCTATTAAATAACTCCATAGACGCGCAAAGGATATCTTAAGTCTAAGAAGGTGGTGACTTAACTACCGGATTTCACATAAATGTCGTAATGGGGATTTGAAAAGTTAGGGGATAGCAATGAAATGGTGTTTAACGTCCTACTGTTCTGCTCCGAATTGGGCTAATGAAGACGGGCATACGCCATACAGTGTGCTATGAGAAAAATTTTGCCCGGAAAGCGGTACTACGGCCTACTCTTATATCGAATTCCAACTGTCAATAGATCTTTTACGTGTACGCCAATGTGTACACGGGGCCTCGTTTTTTCGTCCCATCCGAACGACTAGACAGCTGTCCTTGTCAGGCCCTCCGTCCTGCATCACTGACAAGGGGGAACGACGCAGGAAAATCTGGATGAACTTTCTCGGCCAATGCAAGAATCGAGCACCCGACCTCCAGGCTAGCGAGCCAGGGGGTAGATTGAAACAAAGACAATGCCGAAAACCCTATAGCTGGCCTCAAACCTTTTTTTCATCAGCAGCTTTGATTTTGTAGAGCCATAATAGACGGTTACTACCACCGAGATGGTCATGGTTGGGTTTTTTTCCAATCATTTATCATGTTCGTATTGCTTAAACAATCACGTTTTCCACTACTGTCATATAATAAAGTTTGATGCGTTAAATTCGTTATTTTTTACAATTCATTCCTATATACATATTTGAAGTTTCGATTGCTACACGTTCTTGTCTTCGTTTGTATAAATTTACAAATGATGATGATTGCTGACCCAAGCGTATCATCAATGATTTACAATTCATTTCTTGTGTTACCTATTGCGTTTTAATCGGTAGTAATTATTCGGGAAGAAAATAACGCTACTTGCATCTTTCGTACACGCAATGTATCGTCAAGGTCAGGCCTTTAGGATTCCAAAGTGTAGGAGCTGACATAATTTTAATTAATTTCTCAAATGATAGATTGATTAACAAAGCCAATAGCCCGGCGTATTGCTAATAATGTTGTTTTATATTCGATAACTGCTATTGAAATCTATTGTTTTTGAAAAACATTTACGAAAAAAAAGATATGTTGCAGCGGTAGTGCTACAATTTTCACACCCTTGACTGAGATATTAACTCCAGTCATTTTGAGACCAACACATGATTATATTTTGTTCACTGATGAAATTTGAGGGGGGAGAATTTAAACCGAGTGGTGGCATTTCCGCTTACCCTTCCTCTAATTCCGACTTTCAAAAGTTCTCATACGTACTCGTCAACGTGACATGACTTCATCCCGGTTCTTTGTCACATCCAAATGACTAAACACACTTCCCTTGTTAGCTTGACGGGCGTTACCCATGAGAAGTCGGTGCAAGACTTGAAAAACCCCAAACGATTTTCTCGACAGTCGACCTCTGCCAAGATTGAAACCCGAGAAATGCTAATTACAAGTACAGTTCTCCGACCCGCTCGACTTGTGTGGTCCCTAAAACAAATATGTTTAATTTTGAGAACACCAACGGTATGTATATCACTGTACATTGTATAAACTAGAACAATTTAATGGAAATGTATCGCGTCATTAACATATTACTGCAGTGGGGCTGTTATTGTCAAAAAAATATGACCGGTTATTGCCGATCTGTCATTTTTCTACTGAGATCGTAGCTATACCAAAATAATTGCAGAATTCTAGAAACTAGGAACTCTCATACCCCCCCCCCCCCAATGGTTACAATGCAAATTCGTCGAAAGAGATACATATATGCAAAATATCTACAACATCTTATTTTTCATACCCAGAATAATGATGAAATTGCAATTCAACCTGTATTGTTTTTTTAGTAATTTTTGTCAATTTCGGTATTTATTGTAGAATTATACACCAACCAGAAGTAAAGTCACTCAAACATTGAACAACCACACAAAATACTTGTTGAGAACAATCTAATGGCAGTGGTTTTTGGTTCTTTTTTTTAAAAGATAAAGGTTCACCTCTCCAGCCGCCCCTTGTTTTACCAAATAAAAATGTAGAATCGGGGAGCAAGCTGACCGTCGATCCTATATATTCTCGCGGACGAAATTGCCATTATGCCTAACGGGGCACCATGATGGCCAATGATCAGAATGCAAATTCTTAATTGCACATCCCCTGAGTTTAGGGACTGTACGCCCACGAAATCGCGGAAAAGGTCGATTTAATTCAAATGTTTTCGGACTAAGTTAATCCTCGCTACATATGGCGAACTTAAATAGCGCACTTGAGAATCACCTGGTTTCAGAAGACAGAACGCTCCCCCCCCCCCCTCGAGTGCGTAGATTCATTTCAAATAAAGTTGTGCAACATTCATCTTGTACAAAGAAAACATTATCACTAACTCGGTAAGATAGCTTTCCATATAATTAGTCATTTACCGTTATTAATGATTACAGAATAATCACGTAGATTAAAAATTGTTCGTCCTATGACATACTAACACTTCATACCCTAGTCTTAATACACAAGGCACATCTGTCCAGTGTCCAATTGTGTGCAGCGCCTATAATTTTTGTTCTAAAAGGATATTGCCCTGCACATTCCTCTGGTTAGTTACAACTGACAAGACTTTAGTAATAGACCTGCTAACGTGTTGTTTATTTTGTAACATTTGTTATAGAAAGTGTTCAGTCCGAGCTTGTTTACCAAAATTTTGGTCAAAAGAAACAAGATTTAACATTAAGTTAATTGGTCAAAATACTTATTGTGTTCTAGGGCCGTGAGTGTTTAGGAAAGGGAAATCCGCGTGACCCTTCTCTGGCCATCTCCATACGGATAACCATAAAAAGGGCTTGGTAAAAGAGACAGATATTCCAGCCTAACTCTAAACTATAAAAGATATGCAACCAGCATCTTTCAATGTTTTGTGCCTTAGCAGCCCCTCTGTCCTGTGTTATTGACAAGAAAAAACAGGGTTCCCGACGAACTCTCTCGGTCAACACCGAGATCTGCCCCGGGGCCTCTGGGTTAGTGAGTCCGTAGATTACTTTTTGTTGTCTTTGAAACTTTTCACCCAAAAAAGTTGTTTCAATTTCTGGTACATTATAACTATTATAAAATATGACAAAATCCATAAACGTGATGCAAATAGTGACACCAAATAACAGGAATATAATATTTATCTATGTGCACAGTTGTTAAGATGCGCAACGCATCACGCAGTCACTCTACGCATTACCTACAACGCCCGTACCTGGGAAAGACAAACTAATCGCAAAACAAAAACACAAAGTCCAAAGTTAATAAAACATTTTATCAATAATTTTCATAAAAAAAAATCATACAAAAAGTTTAGTTTTTGATAAAACTAGATAGGAGGTAAAATTATGATATAAAACTATGTCCGTAAACCCTTGTTTCGTGTGCCGTTTACAGTTGTTAAAAGAACTATAAAACATTAACACTAGCTTTAAGCAGATCGTTTAATGAATACCATGCTCACCAAGAAAAATAAATGCAATTCAGATTTCCAGTTAGTTGTTTAATTAAAAGATGATTACAACTATTTAAGATTAAGTCGGAAAAGGACGCAAATGAACTAAACTAAACACCTTTTTTGCATACTAGTTTGGTGTCTTAGATAAAAAAAAAACACGCAAAAAAAATAATAACTATAATTACCATTGCTTAGCTAGATATAGCCGAATTATACTAAGACGCAATGAAAACGCATCACTTTAATAAACAGATGATTGTAAATCTCGTTTGAGAAATACACTTGAATGTAATAACAGGACTCTACAATGCCACGCGATGATAGCGTTTTCACGATCGCATACTGGATTCAACAGAATGAGATTGTTAAAAATTACGAATGTATGGTGTCTGTCCCAGCTACGAAGTACACTGTAGCTTTTAAAAAGCTAGGACCAGAACAACACCTACGGCCCTCTGGGAGACCTAACGATATGCCAAGGTGACAGCTTAAAGGAGCTAAACCTCTAAGTACTCAATATTATCCATATGTAGAATGAACTAAGCGGACACAAATGACTGCCATTCTATTTGGAGTGTTCGCGTATTCTTCAGAACAGAATTTATTAGAAACTACTCTCATTGTAATGATTCTTCCAATGGGTCTAGTAATTTCAAAGTTTCAAAGAATAGCGATATTCTTAATTCAAGATGGCATGAATACCAGGCCCATTGGAAACACCATTACAACAAAAATGATCCCACAATTAGCTACTCGGGGGCTTATCTCCTTTATGCGACGACGGCGTGTGGCGATGGAAGTTTGATTTTTACCTCATCTGCCTTCATTTCTCTGTAAAGTTATTTTGTTCTCCGAGGGTTGTTCTGGATTTTCTTGTCTAACCTACAATCAAGCTAAAAATCACATTCCAACTGCATCATGTCTCACCAGTACTTGCAGTCAAATCTGAGTTACGCTTTCATTGCGTCTCAGTGTACATTTTACCCATAACGCATAATGATGACGTGAAATCAAAAGAAAGTTTTGCAAATATTAAGTGGCCCTTAGTTTTATTCTATATGTTGCCCCTTATTGTGGTAATATATAAAAATCATGACGACTGTTGCTGTCTACTGAAGACTTTTTCTGTTGTCTGTCCGGCGGAATGATCCAAGATGATTAGAGTTAAAAATCTGTAGGAATCCAGAAGAACACGATTTTAAATCAGTGCTTCTGTTTAAAGGTGTCTTTCTGGTAGTATAAATTGCAAAGAAGGTCTGGTTAGCAGTTGAAGGTCTCCTTTTACTTATTTGCAGACAAGTTTATCATTCATTATAAAATTACTACATTGGCCCTGTTAGAATCCTAAAAGAAATACAGGGCTTTAGGTTTTTAAGGACATTTCTGAAAATATATTGTAACAGTTTTCATTCTGCTTTAGCGTACATTGCAGGCTGAATTTGAATCGTTGTGTGCGTTATCACCAAGACTCAAAATTTGATTGATTTGAGGTTTTGTTGATCTGTTAGAAAAATTGCGATTTTTATGGCCTATAGCGTACATAGTCGTTTTGTTATTTGTTTTTTCAATTTGTTTCCCTGACCCTGATGATTAAAATATTACCCCTCTTAATTAACAATGTTCAATATATATATATATATGCATCAGTGAAACTTCTTTTTTTTTTAAATATGATGACATATTCTAGAGCATCCTTGTTGACAACATTTATCTGAACCACCACAATCTGAATCATTCTGACATCTGGTAAAACACCCACCAAGATCATGAACATGGTTTGGACAACTACCTGGTTTACCTGAAAATACGAATATCATAAACAGACTGTTTAAGATTTAACTTTCAACACCTCATATTACTTCTGTTTCGAGGGTTCGCATGGTTAATTACGTTTGTATTTTTAACTGAACCATAATGCCCGTTATTCAATAGATACTATTCGCATGAAACCCAAATCTAAGGCTTTTAAAATCTCCGGGGTTCTCAGTTGCACATGTAAACACTCAACGAGCCAAGTGATGCCACAACTGAACGAAGACCAACGCAACAACGATATCGGTCGGCTACAAGCACGCGAATCCCAGACAGATGTAGCCAGACTGCTGAATGTTACCCAGAGTATTATTTCTCGCCTTTGAGATAGGTGCCGACAGCGAAGTTCAACACATGACCGCCCAAAGTCAGGCCAAACAAGAGTGACCCCACCTGCCCGGGGTCGTCATTTCCGGTTACGTCATTTGCGGAAAAGGTTCACAACAGCGACCTCTACGACAGTCCATAAAGCCTACGTAAAACCGGATTACAAGCCAGACATCCCGTTAGAAATGCTGTTTTGAAATACGCCGACACCGTCAAATCCGATTTCAATAGCTTCAGACACAAAGCGTACGGTCAAATGAAAATGTTAAAAGAAATATATGCTATTACACTGATTTCTTTCTTAAAGGGTACCATGTTTTTAAAGGACAATATCGGTGTCAATCATTATAAAATATCTGATAGAACTGGTTAAATACATCCCAAATATAATTTTAACACAGAGATCACTGCTACGGGAGATGTGTAACAAGAACGTGAAGAAACGGGAAGTGACGCCAAACATGACAAACACGAGTTATCCTTCTATATAACTGATTGAAGTAACGAGCGATAACAGACAAACGATCGAATTTCATTTCACTGATAATTCCGTAGAGGTTGAAAAGTTATTATATGGGACGGTGAGTGGGTATCTTCACGTGCTTGTTACACATCTCCCTTAGCAATGATCTCTGTGTTAAAAATTATATTTGGAACGAGTTTAACCAATTCTATCACATATGTAATAATGACTGACACCAATATTGTCCTTTAAACGTCTCAAAATTATAAACGCTTCATTATACAATTCAGGTACAGAATTGTGATTCAGTTCTTAGATAAATGGCATAGGCAGTGGTGTCGCGTTTCACAGCAGTATACTGATACCGAAATGTGAACCTGATCGATTTGGTAAGAGCCACCTGATTCTGAAGATCTTTCGACAAATAAGTAGAAACGAATACTTTGGCGCGTAGAATTTATCAAACAAAAGCAAAGTGTTATGAGGTATTCTAGGATGAAAACAAAAGCCCACGTTAAAATATATTGCCACAAAAAGCGATAATCTAAGTCATGTAATTGCACTTACCCTGGGGGCGTCTTTGGGGTCGAGGTTTACTAGAATATCCAACCTTACTTCCACCTCCGCCTCTACCTCCACCACCGGAGTGCGAATGGGCTCCATCTAAGTCACCTCCTCCACTATTTCCACCGCGACCACCACTATGGTAGCCACTGCTACCTTTACCTCCACTACTATAACCACTACTACTGCTCCCCCCACCGCCACCGTGATAGCCCCCACTGCTGCCTCCTCCGCCACCACCATTGTACCCTCCCCCACCTCCACTATGATATCCACTATTACCCCCACCCCCTCCCCCACCAGAATGAGAATGGGCTCCGTCAAGAAATGCACCACTACTTTGATATCCACTACTACTACCACCACCTCCTCCATATCCACCACCCCCTCCTCCATATCCACCACCACCACCTCCATATCCACCACTACCACCACCACCTCCATGCCCCCCGCCATAGCTTCCTCCGCCACCACCTCCACCATAACCACCCCCACCATTACCACCACCAACCCCATGATAGCCACCGCCGCCACCGTAATGTCCACCCCCACCCCCATATCCACCACCACCATAGCCTCCCCCACCTTGCATCATCGGAGGTCGGATCATTGGAGGGGGCATCATAGGGGGTTGCATCATAGGGGGTTGCATCATTGGTTGTTGCATTATCATCGGCTGCTGCATCAGCATAGGTGTTTGCATCATTGGCGGCTTCTGCATCATCATTCCTCCGCCCATGCCTCCTGTCATACCACCAGTGCCAACAGGCGTGGGAACTAAGATGACCGTTGCTCCTCCAGTACCAGCACTGCCTGCTGTACTACTGGGCTGCATGTTGTATGCTCCACCCCCTACCCCTAGTATCGGTTCCTGCATGATGTACGTCCCGCTACTACCATTCGCATCAACATTTGGGATTGTAGGACAACATCTACTACCAATACATTTTGTTGGAGAAGGGCAACTCGTGGTACAGTGTAGGTCTCGACCTGATATTTTCACAACTGGGCGGCCTCTTGGACAATTTCCTGTTTGTGACATAGCTTTCTTGGCTGAAATAAAAAAAACTAAACATAAAAATGGTTTATAAAAATAAGTGACTTTTTATACACCTACTATCACATCGAAAACTGAAATTGTAGAATGAACTTATATCTTGAACAGAGCTGCCATGGAAATAATTATAATATCATTAGCAAACAATGAATACAGGATATTATCAGAAAATATTTAAGAAAATATAAATTTATACTTACGAACGCAAGTAACTTTGAGTACTTTCATAGTCTGCATAATTCGACATTTTGTTCCTACGGGACATATTGCTCCCTGTCAACAGAGTATAAATATATTAGGGAGTACTTGACCTTTTTAGAAGGAAGATATCATTTGGAGATGTTGCATAAAACAAACACTGAAATAAACAACAGCGTAGCCAGAAGTGCTAGCGGCCTTCTGAAAACCTTAACGGGTATGGGGGATCAAATTCGTGGACTGTGGCCAACCCACATCAAAATTACGACTACGACATTGTCAACCTGCAAATGTATTGGTGCTAAAAAGCTGTGTATAGTTAATATTGTACTTACAGCACATGGATCGATTCCAGTGGTAGTAGTACTTGTACCAGTATTACCAGCTGTGAGGGCACCTGTTGTTCCTGATAATACATAATTTGTATAGCACCCCAAAATTAGCAATACCTAAAATAGAAAGAAAGGTTATTGGGAATAGAAATACATTATTCAGGGGGGGGGGGGGTATGATATTTTCACTCATAAACAAAAAATGTATTACACTGCCACGTAGTAAAATTCAATCCTTGATAAATCATTACTAATAACTTATGCAATATTAACTACGCCGCTAACGCAAGACCATTGGACGTAATAGAGATATTTTCGCTGTTTTGATAAATATCTCCCACCTTCGCCGATCTCTGGTCTGAAGTGAAACTTTATTAGTAAGTGCAGGGGGACTGCACCACACAAAATTTACACAAAAACAAATACACGGACAGGACATCATACTCAGGAAAACACAAACATACAGACAATTCAAAAAAAAGTGAATGGATCCGGGGGGCTAGCCGTAAGCGTCCACTGCGCTGTACAGTCCCGGGTCTGTAGTGACACAGACTTCACTCAAATTTGAAAACAATTAGGAATACAACCCAAAGAACCCATTGTGTAATGCCAGCATGAGTCATGATCTGCTATATGCTACACGAAATACGAATGTAAGCATGTGTAGTAAAATTCAACTATACAAGTAACCACATCGGTGAAATGTATTAAAAAAAAGTAGTCTAAACTCTTAAATTCAATAAAGAAACGCTTCAGTATTTAATACATATAGGGTACATGTTCCATCGTCACAAAAAACAAAAACAAAACTGAATACAAAGAAGCAAGTAGGAAATCACAATTTACGATCAGTAAATAAACCATATTATTATATTTAAAGACAATTCAAGAATCTTACTGTATATAGAAGAGCCATCGAGCTATAATTATTGATGGTGGTAACTAGCCCGCGCTCCGTCATCTCCTTTTAAAAACTCCGTCTTTAGTAAAGGGACGAAGCAATCTTCAATGATCTGTACGAAAATGTCAAGCGATCGCGATTTTCCGTAGAACAGAAACAACTTGACTTTTCTGCTGGATTAACATTTACAGTGAAAGTTGTCACATCCAAGTTAGTCTTTTTAGTTGGAAAGATACTGACACGAATATACTCATATGCAAATAAAACAGGCCTCTCGCCTATAAGGTCATGTTTATTCAAAATTAAAATATAACTTTTGACACATTTCATTGGACTAACAGGATTATGGTTATTATTGACCACATACGTTAATGCGCCGAAAGTTGTTAGAATTACTAGAATATGTGGGTGTAGGTGGTGGGGGTTGAAGCGGTGGGGGGGGGGCAAAAATAACAACTAACAAAGGCTGGCCATGTTAACTACTAATAATAGCAATTTCCGCTAGATCGCCAGGAACAAAATTTATTTATTCCAAATGTTCTGGTTATTCGTGGAACGCCGACTTCTTTGGTGAGTAACTAAAGAACATATTCTCCCATCAATGGCACGGAGTTCGCAATTCTTTTACTTTAATTCAAAGACATACGATAGACAAACCAGTCTTACACGCATATCAATTATACATATCGTATTACATAGAGAATCTCCTACCAGTCTTTTTGATATCAAAAAATATCAACACAAGTTGATATTTTTTGATATCAAAAAAGACGAGTAGGAGATTTTATTTATCACCCAATCCCTTCTTACATGCACAAATAGATAAATATAATTCTTTACTGTAGATTTCACTTTTAATGAACATTACGGCGTAGTGATACATCATTTTTTGACATCAATTCAACCATTGCAAAGTCCTTTATATTGACCCAGTGTTTCCGTCAAGGTCAGTTGAATAACAATAGTTCATTTTTAATAAAAAAAAAGTTACTTTTAATAAGAAATGAACTGTTCTTTGAAAATAAACCAGCGGCTGCCAGGCAGGATATGCCCACATTTTCGAGAGATGGATAGAGAACAAGCTAACAAGAAAGTGATTTTTCCTACTATCAAGGGCCATAATTCAGGAAATTACAATTCAATATGCGCGAATATCGACAGGAACTGAGATCTTTGTGTTATAAACTTACATTTCAAGTTTCAACAAAATCGGATAAAAATTGTGACCTTTATAGGGTCCACAACCTTGATATACCATATTTTTACGCTATTTGAGAACGAACGGCGGCCATTTTGTCTGTCAATTTTGGGCCGATTTTCACGAAATTCGAACTCAACCTTCCTTAGGGTGTAACGGTGATATAATAATACGTTTTTTTAAATCGGATAAAAATTATGACCTCTATAGGGTCCACAAGCTAAAAACGTGATTTTTCATACAATCAGGGGCCATAATTCAGGAAGTTACGGTCCGATATGCGCGAAGATCGAAAGGAACCAAGATCTTTGCGTTATAAACTTACATTTCAAGTTTCAAAAAAATCGGATAAAAATTGTGACCTCTATAGGGTCCACAACCTTGGTATACCATATTTTTACGCTATTTGAGAACGAACGGCGGCCATTTTGTCTGTCAATTTTAGGCCGATTTTCACGAAATTCGAACTCAACCGTCCTTAGGGTGTAACGGTGATATAATAATACGTTTTTTTAAATCGGATAAAAATTATGACCTCTATAGGGTCCACAAGCTAAAAACGTGATTTTTCATACAATCAGGGGCCATAATTCAGGAAGTTACGGTCCGATATGCGCGAAGATCGAAAGGAACCAAGATCTTAGCGTTATAAACTTAAATTTCAAGTTTCAAAAAAATCGGATAAAAATTGTGACCTCTATAGGGTCCACAACCTTGATATACCATATTTTTACGCTATTTGAGAACGAACGGCGGCCATTTTGTCTGTCAATTTTGGGCAACTCAACCTTCCTTAGGGTGTAACGGTGGTATAATAATACGGTTTTTTAAATCGGATTAAAATTATGACTTCTATAGGGTCCACAAGCTAAAAACGTGATATTTCGTACAATCAGGGGCCATAATTCAGGAAGTTACAGTCCGATATGCGCGAATATCGAAAGGAACCGAGATCTTTGGGTTATAAACTTACATTTCAATTTTCAACAAAATCGGATAAAAATTGTGACCTCTATAGGGTCCACAACCTTGATATACCATATTTTTACGCTATTTGAGAACGAACGGCGGCCATTTTGTCTGTCAATTTTGGGCCGATTTTCACGAAATTCGAACTCAACCTTCCTTAGGGTGTAACGGTGATATAATAATACGGTTTTTTTAAATCGAATAAAAATTATGACCTCTATAGGGTCCACAAGCTAAAAACGTGATATTTCGTACAATCAGGGGCTATAATTCAGGAAGTTACAGTCCGATAAGCGCGAATATCGAAAGGAACCGAGATCTTTGGGTTATAAACTTACATTTCAATTTTCAACAAAATCGGATAAAAATTGTGACCTCTATAGGGTCCACAACCTTGACATACCATATTTTTACGCTATTTGAGAACGAACGGCGGCCATTTATTTTGGGTGTCAATTTTGGGCCGATTTTGACGAAATTTGAACTCAACCTTCCTTAGGGTGTAACGGTGATATAATAATACGGTTTTTTTAAATCGGATAAAAATTATGACCTCTATAGGGTCCACAAGCTAAAAACGCGATTTTTCGTACAATCAGGGGCCATAATTCAGGAAGTTACGGTCCGATATGCGCGAATATCGAAAGAAACCGATATCTTTGGGTTATAAACTTACATTTCAAGTTTCAAGAAATCGGATAAAAATTGTGACCTCTATAGGGTCCACAAGCTAAAAACGTGATTTTTCGTACAATCAGGGGCCATAATCCATGAAGTTTCGATCCGATACATGCCAATATCGAAAGCAGCCGAGATCTTTTGGGGATAAACCTATATTTCAAGTTTCGTCAAAATCGGATAAGAATTGTGACCTGTAGAGAGTCCACAAACAATTGTGGACGGACGGACGGACAGGGGCGACGGCATAATACGTCCACATGAAAATGTGGGCGTATAAAAAGTAGTTCCTTTTCAACTGACCAATCAAATTCATGTAAAGCGATATCTCCTTAGGAGATATGAGATATCGGAGTAGATTATGAAATATATCACACAAGCGATATCTACTGTAGAATGTATTATTGGGTGATAAATAAAGCTATCGCCGGTTATTTTACTCGTTCCTTTTGATCAACCAATCGAAAGACGAAGTATTGCATAATGATTAAGAATGCATTAGCGATCAACACTTTTAGATTCATAGACCTATAATTTGTACTTTGATTTCAGCAGCTACTAGTTAAGGATTCTGTATGAGTGGTTGAATTACTAGTATCTATTATGGCCAGCAAGAGACGGTTATCATGTACTAGACATTGTGTGTTATCACTCTTATTAACTGGATATGTTTCATGTAGTTAATAAGTTCACAAATAATTATCATTTTACTTTTTATGTATATACGTATTGGCACATGGCTTTCATTTTTCACATCTGCTGGTCAATTGCTGTTTCGACCTTCAAACAGTTGACTATCGTTGGTTTGTTAATCTTAGTTTTTTTGTGAATCTTTGAATTGTTTGGGTCACAAAGCAACTATTATGAATATTTATTCTTGAATAATATATCGGATTTCATTGATTTAGTGACAATAGTTTGTGACTAGCAATTTAGTGGGTTTTGGGGTGCTATCAAACTTATTTTATCGGAATAGTGGTCGACTAGAATGTACCGGGCTCAAATCCCAACGTAGGCCAAGTAAAATTGAATGGGAAGCGATTTCATTTTCGACAAGGATTCAATAGAACGGTTCCTGAACGTACAGGGCGATTGTAATGAGACCTAACGTTCACAGCTGAACTAGGGAGAAAGTACCATACTCATTGTGTCACCGTCGCTCCCGCATTTTAAAGAACCCTTGCTGATTGGAAATCGATTCGAGTCGGCGGAAACACCACTTTTGAGGAAATACTCGTATAACACGTATTGCACAAGTAACAATTCCATTCAAATTATATTGTCAATCTCAACATGGTTCAAATTATTTTACAAAGGACTGAAACTTTGTTGGATATTTTTCTTGCAACCAGTGTATTTCAATATACCGAATCTTAAAACGGTTACCTTTAGATCGACCTTTCTATCTGTTTAACTACAGATTAGTGTTTGGGGTTTCATATACTTTCATCAAATGTGTGGCGTGTTGTTTTTAATCTACCTATAAGCTATGCGAACTACGATGTGGCTGTCACAATAATAACCTCTCTATATGTTGGTATGTGTAATATAAAGAAAATGTACACTCACGGTTCCTTATATACTGTAGTATAGATTCGCCCATTGCTAGGCCAATGAGGTGTATAATTTTTCCCAAAAAAATACAAGCCAAAATCTATGTTTAAGCAATATAAATAAGACTCAAAAATATTTTAAAAAATCAAAATTGTATCTATATCTGAGACACCATCGTCGAAATATTTAACATATTATTCAAAATCGCGTAAATTTATTTTCCTGCTGAGGTTGATAAATGCTTCTGTGATAGCATAAACATAAATACTCAAATATAGTTTTAGGCTCAATGAATATGGTATCGTCCTACTTTTATTTTACACTAAATTAATTGAAATTAATAATTGGATAATTATGATAACCCATTTAATTCAGGTCGACTGCTGAACATAAAATCAGTTTTATTTCGGTTGTATGAAATTATTTTTTTTTTTTTTTTAATTTCGGCATACGTTAAGAGTGAATCTTGTATACCTGACGCAGTGCATAGAAAATGACATAATTTGTGTTATGCTGTATTGTATGCCACCAAATAGTTCTACATCTTCCGTATATATATATATATATATATATATATTGACTAGTCATAATTCAACATAGAAACACTATAATCTCACTTCTTATTCCAATTTTATAATTGGTATTCTTTGTTTTGAGATGTCAACGCCTTCGGTTTGCGTTGCAAGGGGGGGGGGGGGCATCTACAGATACACCCTTCGGTTTGCGTTACTAGGGGGGCATCTACAGATACA